AATAAGTGAGAGTGTGAATGGTTTGCATTTAGGAAATGCATGCATTATGTGCTGAAATGACCTAGCTGACCCGGAGCCCAACCTCTGTGGCTGGACGGATAAGGTCTGACCACGGACTGTCAATACCCGGGGTGGTTGATTCTCGAGACCTGCCGGTAATTTATTGTAAATTACAAATCTGGAATTGTGCCGGTGTTCTGCGAGAAGTGATAGGCACAACTCTCTACACCTGTGTTTGTGTGTGTGTGTATGTATATATATTTTTACACAATGGATACCAAGGACTGGAGGAGTTCCCTCCTGAGCACTGCGGCTGAGCTGTACAGCTTATTGTACTTTATCCCTGGCTCCATATTTTGGGCTCGCAACACAAATGTGAACTTGAGCCCCCGTTGTACCGGTGTTCTTCCATCGAAGAAACTCATTTTTGAAGGGGGTTGGGACCAAATTCAGGGTCGCTGAGATCCGATCCCGCCCCTTCCATTGATGAGTGCCGTGTCAATTTCTTTCAATTGCGGCCACCGGTCCCCTTAGGCGTCAGAAAGAGTCCAGATGCGACGGTGGGGATCGAACCCACGACCGCGGGATCTACTAGCCGAGAGTCTGACGCCTTAACCACTCGGCTACCGCGGTCTCCCGTGTGTATATATTGCATGCATGTCCAGATTTGAGTTATATTGAAAATATATTAAAACAATTACATTATATTTTTAACTTTTAATTTCTTATTTTTTAAATATCATTAAGTCCGGGTTTTCTTTTATTTGTTAGAAGGTATTTTTATACGATTGTACTTATAATTTGATGTAATGACAGCAAAGGGATAGGCTTTATTTATCGTATAAGTAAAATTTGTCGAAAATTTAAATATTCCTCTATTTATTTTAGTATGAACAATACGATTTTTAAATACTATCCCATATCGCGTTTTTGGAAATGCCATTTTCAAAATCATAAATATGTCATATTATATATTCAGCGGTAAAGTATGTCCTGTTCAGCTACAGATAGAGAGCGCTTATTCAGTTTCGAAATGACTGCTCTTTCTCTATAAAGAAGTATGGTCTACCCCAGTGGAAAGTTCCACGACAATTGCCAATTTCGACGAAAAGCTCTTGGATTCAAGCTCGACTTTATTTCACGGGATTCCCATCCACTCGGTACAAATTCAATAGGAGAGAGACGGAAGACAATTTTCTTCCTTTTTCACCGCTATATTTATGCAACGTCTCCCGCTGGCCGGAGGCGGTACAAGAACGAAGTTTTATATATAATATCTCTTGGTTATAAAACCCGGCCTCTTTGGCTACTCTTTGCAGAAATTGCATCTAGGTTGTGCAATTGGACGTTTCTTAGACGGACAAACAATTGCTTGTCTAATTTCATAATCCCTAAATATTTAATTTAAAAACTAATTTTTTTAGGAAAACGAAAGAAAAAATACCTTTCATAACATTTCGAACTAGAAATCAAGTAAAAATATTAAATGTGTGGCCTTCTATCTAACATTTAATAGGTAGTACAAATTACTAAACTCATTAAAAAGTTTAAATGAATTTTGTCTTTTTGAAACGATAACACTTCTTTGTTTTGCAGGAAACCCATTGCAGTAATACTCATTGTTTTAAACTCATCTAAAACTGTGATGTCAGAGATATGGCAGGCACCTTTCATTGCTGTAAATTTTGCCCATGGCAATGATGATCAAGTACTCCATCTACCAAACAGTATGAGTGCGATCAATGTATGTAGGTATGAATGTATTTATTGGTGTGATTGTGTAACGAGGTATCGAGGGTGTACCGGTATTATGTTAGTGCTTCAGGGCTGAAATGTCCAAGATGTCGGATGCCTCTGTCAAAGAAAAAAAAACTGATCCTACTAACTAGTATTTAATGTAAAAGTAGGGCAACGATTCTTGAGCCAACTCAGTAATTCAATCTACCTTACTTACAAATATCTTACCTCTCCTAATCCACCGACTGTACTAATGCAGACACAGGTCGATAATTCATATGAATTGTAACATACGGGACAAAATATAATACCAAAAAGTAGCAATTTTTTAAATTCTGAATAAATTTTATTGAAATGGGTTAAAATAAATACATGATTTTAAAGAATAAAATAACATTAAACAAAACATTACCTGGACCAATTTGGACATACTGCGTGGATCCAACATGCCATCGTTGATCTAACTAATGCAATCATTCAGTCAAAAGTCATCAGAAGAATTTGTCGTTCATTCTTCGTTCATTTCTCAAAACAATGTTCACAATGATTACTATTAAAAATTCTTCATTAAAGAATTGATCCTCTCTCGTTTTGTAAAATTTCACTCTAATCCTTTAATCCAACCGAACTCAAGTGCTCAAACCCCTCCCATCGCAAGAACCCTACACGTCACCTCAAACGGCTTTGGCCCTAAGACCTCTTTGCCCCTTACCCAATCAATCAACAGGATGATTTCCAGCTGTTGGCTGCCTTCTCATAACACGTTTCCTTGCCATAATGTGTTTTATCCGAGTGTAAACAAAGAATAATTTTTTAACATACATGTAATAGAAATACAGGATACTAACAAATAAAAACGTACAAAAAACATTTTTAGTCTTAATTTTTTTTAAACCTTTCTTATGTACAGTTATCCAATTTTGTGAAACATGGGGCTTTAGACTGCACCTGAAATTATTAATCAGATGGAAATTGTACTGTCAAAATTAACAAAAATCTAGTTGAATTAAATATAGATAGATAGACAGATAGATAATGATGTTTATTTACAATAAAAATTATTTTACAGAAAATATACAGTAAATAAAACATCCTAGACACAGGCTGTCTGTCGAGTTGCCGAAAGAAAAACACAACAACATAGAATATTATTACTAATGTTAATAATAAGCATACTAATACTAATAAAACTACTATTAATAGTCATAATTTACACAATACATTATTAATAATTGAAATTATCGATTAGGAACGCTCTGTATTTCAGGGAGTACAAAACATAATTGTTGAGACTGTGCCAGTTATGCCCATCCAAAAATGAAATTACTTCATTTTTTACTAAAAACAATTTGCCGAACCACCTAAGTCTGAATTCCTTCAATATAGGGCACACCGCCAAAAAATGGAAACCATCCTCATGCACACCTAAATTACACAAAGACCAACATTACGCTTCCTCATTTCTGTAAACGAATTTTGGCCTTGAAAATATCAGACAAGAAAATATTTTGGACAAAAGAATTTGAACATTTGTGTCTACAACATGGTTTAACCCTCTTGAGTTATCCGAGTTGTGATGGTCAGTTTCAATTATACCATTGATTTTTCATTTTGAAATGTATAGAGAAAACTATCCATTAAAAACTGCCTTCACATATGCGCCCAACTATGTAGGCTTGTTAAAACTGTGGTTTATCAAATCAAACTAAAAGAAAAAAAGAATGTATAATATAATAAAACGCTAAAGTAAATAAATAATATAAAAAAACGTAATAACGAAATTAGAAATGAAATTAAAAATTAAAAATGTACTCTTTAAGTAAAAGAAAAAAGTTTTTATTTTTTAACACAAAATTTTTAACTTCGGCGAAAAATTATAATTTTGAAATTACTGGCTTTGACAAAAATCAAGGTTAAAAAGACTCGTTCAAAAGGCACCTCGTGTAGACTTGAATTTCCGGGATCCCAGGTTTGCCGTTCCAAGATGGCCGCAAAATGTCTTCTTGCTGGACAGTTGTTACCACTTATTAACTGGACCTCTGATTGGCATATATCTCGAATACGCTTCAGTACGTCGGCTGAGGAGTTTATTTATCCTGTATATCCCCTGTTTCTTTTAGACCGCCTCCGGCCGTACATCGCACCTCAAACCCTTTCTCAGGGCGAGACGAATATAAAATATGAATATAAAATATATATTTTATATTCAATCAAAGTATTTCTACTCGCTCAAAGTGTTTGTCTCCTGTGTAATTGTGCCATTCTTGCGTGTCGTGTTGAGAGAGCCAGTGAGATATTGCTGTTTTATGTTTATATATGTTGGATTTTTAAGATTTTGAAACTTTGGCACGATAAAGAAAATGTTTTTCTGAAACGTACATCACACCAGATAGCATCTCACGATTTCTGAATAATTATCGATTAACGGTCACTAATCACCACACATATTTAAATAATGATGATTTTCTCCTAATTTCAAATTCAGCTCATTGTATAAACTATGGAAGACAGACCGCTGTGCTCTTAATTTTAGGTTATTTATAATGTCAGTTCTCAAAACATTTACCAGGCTTTCCACACTATTTTTATTGAAATCTGCCATGATTTCGCCACATTGGATTTTCCCTATGGCGGTGTAATCCATTTTTTGTTGTTCCATTGTTATCCATCCAGACCGCATCTCACGATTTCTGAATAATTATTATTTAAATAACAATTATAAATTGAATATGATACGTGTGATAATGAAGGCAATAGGTCAGCTGCTGCCTCTTAATTACTCGGTTTACAGAAATGAATTAAATATATAGACTATATAAAATTCCGTGAACATGAAAAGAATTTATCTAATTGATTTCTTTATGTAAGGCTCAGCAGTGTTCTCATGATACGCTCCTTGTTATTTGACAAGCCAAACAATGAGAAACTGTATAATTTAAAGCACGTTGAAAATTTAATACATCAGTACTGTATGTATAAAAAGATAAAGTTATAATGCTTTATGAGCGATACCTTACATCACCCATAATTAGAGCACCGGGGTACGTTTTAAGGGGAGGTTATGCTTGCTGCCCAGTGTGCAACTGCTGTACATATGATCTTTTTACATTACCAAACTTGTGGGAATGTGATCCATTACAATTACATTTTGGATTTTTTACACCATAATACATTTTTGAAAAATCTAATTGGTTACTAATTCACAAAACCTTTAACATAATTTAAATAAAAATTAATTAATATCGTTCGCATTTCTGTTACAGTATGTTCCGAGATACCTAAGCCAGGATGATTAACGACGAAGTGGTCGAAGAGGTCCTGAGGGGAGAACTGCAGGCGGCCAAATGGGCAATTCCTAGGACCCTCAAGATATTCATTTCTTCGGCGAGAGACGGTGAGAAATTTATTCAAAATAGGGGCGATTTCGGTTCCGTGGTGACGCAATGCGCAGTTGTTTGTCTACCGGTAGAAAACTCGGGCCAGAAATCTCCAGCGAGACCAACAATTGAAACATTTATAAGGGAGAGCCATTAGCATGGCTCCGGCGAGTAGTTCTTCAACGTAAATATTTGAAAGGGTGCGATGGGCTTTGCTATGGATTCCGACTGCGCAGAACCTGCCCGGAACGGGACTCTGGGGGAATTATGGTAATGGGCCAGGCCTTATGTCCCGTCCTTTTGCGACCACAATTTACCCTCGTCGTACAGTGACTCGTTCGTCTTTGACACCTACGTTGACGATTGATATTTTCATACCTTGTTTTCACTCCTTCTTCCTAGTATTCATTTTTTTATTCTATCTAACAAAATAAGTAAACGTACATCGGTAATATGAGTGTTTTTTTATTCTTAAAAACTTTTAAAAAACAGTAGTTTATTCATTTAATTAAAGAAAACCAATTTCCATTCAGTTCTGAATTTTTTCAACATATCATGTGAAATTTTTACAAAAGAAAACAAGTTTATCACACAGAAACTCTTACACTAGAATAATTTGGGACCATTCCCAGGTGAAATTATAACTTGATACGTTTTTTAATCTCCTAACTGGTCCTATTTACAAATTAGTTTTAAAACGACGAATGTATTGATTTTGACCAGACGGCTTCTCAAGATTTCTGAATAATTATTGATTTAAGTACAGTTTTTGGAGTTATGCTCTGACAACAATAATCTTGTTAAATAAGCGACTTATTTAAAAAGTCTTTTACATTGTATAATTATAGATTTTATTACAGGATTCAAGTTTATTCCTGAAGTATAGCTGCACTTAAGAGAATAAATGGACTCAAAGCTGATTTTATATACAAACCTTTGTCTTGCTTATGGGTAGGAAATAAATTGTCTGTTACACAATAGGCGTTTATTTCTTCGATCACGTTTCGGTCTAAAATAGATCATCTTCAGTGACTTTTTAAAAATAAACTGGTTTGACGGTTTGTCATATAGTTATCGGTGCTATAATATAAACAAACCGTCAAACTACTTTATTTTTTAAAAAAGTCAATGGAGGTAGTTTATATTAGACCGAACGGCGTCTGACGACATGAATGCCTATTGTGAAAAAGGCAATTTATTTCTTATCCATCAACTTATTATGGAGCTCCACAAAATTAGCATGAACGCTATAAAAAAAACCCATTGGCTTTTGTTCAATTATGACTGAGACTTGGAAGTGTAAACTGACAACCGGTAGGTGAAAATCAAAAACGCAACGGATTAGGTGTTGGCACGGCGTTCATCACTAAGGTAAAGGTCCTTGTTTCGAATCCAGTGGCCCTGCATTCAAATCCGACATACTTAGAAATGGGCTTTATTTGTTCAAAAAAACCAGCAACCTAATTCATACAATAAAATAAAATCCGTAGTAACCAAAAGAATACTTGCAGAACAGTCACTCTTATAACTCACATCTATTGTCTTTTGTGATCAATTTCATTGTGTATGCTGAACTGGCACAGGGTCGCTTATAATAATATATAAGTAAATAAAAGTGACCCAGTGCTGATTTAGCATGTGTTCACTCGTACACCAGCATCCAGCAACAAATCTTATAAACCAACAAATTTCGAAATACATGGCTATTTTCCGAGCGACGTCCAAAAAGCCAGTGTTTCATGATGTTTTGAAATTCGTAAAATTGAACAGTTCTTTCAGTTCAACTTTCAGTTCTTGTTAACAGTTTTAGATATTAAATGTATTTTTCTGGCTCTTATGAATATATATCTGAGCTACCAAAAATTTATGATTGTATTATGATTTTACATTCAATGAAAAATTCGAAGACCTGTAACGAAATTAAATCTACAAAATATGTATGAGTCATTTTATTATACTACCTGTTTCTATCTTCCATGTAACTTAGAAATCTAGTCCTCTCAGAATTCTCAGGTTTTTGAACACTGAAATCTTCCATGGTTTCTCAACAGTCTTCAGAGAAGTGAAGCCCAATCCATTTTTTTCTTTTTAACGAGAGTTCGCAACAGCAGAGGTTATATTAATCCTCGGGGTGCCGGTGTTTTTGAAAAAGAGCCCATTTGGAAGTATGTCCAGCTGCCCTGCATTCGAACCCGGGACCTTTACCTTACAATGATGAGCGCCTTGTCAACGCCTAAACCGTTCCGGCCACAGACGCCCATTGTCGTGGTGGTTATTAATTTATAAAACCCTCCTTTTTTCTGATACTATGTGTCGATTTCTTAAAGCTTAACTCATAATAATGTAAATTTTACAAAAATAATAAGAGAACTTAAAACATTTTCACACAAAAAAATGTAAACTGTTAATCTGATGATATTTTATACAAAGATTTTTTTGCTGATGATGGCTGTAATTCATGAAACAACCAACAAAAATACTTAAAAGAGAAAAAACTAAAAACTACATTGTATGAATTTATGTTTTTTCCGCAAAACATAAATTCATACAAAGACAAATTAGTCTTTCAGCATATCAATGTCAGATACAATTATAAAAATGATAATGAAATATAAAAAAAGACATCACAATTTGCCTTGATTCGCTGACGTAGTAGATTGTTTATATAAGCTCAAAACCAGATATTTGCAAACGTATCATATCGTACGTTCCAAATGTAAAACAATTCTTTTATACCTTTAGTTTCAATTCAAGTAATGAATTGACTGACATATATGTTCAAAAAATAATTTATATTTTCATATTGTTGATAAGAGGAAAAATATGTTGTCCTTTAATGAGTGGTTTACCTATTTATTTTGTAGGAACTGACGACCCTTTTGATTATTTGCTAGCAAAGAAAGGCTGTTCAATGTGCTAAGTTGTATTTCAAGTAAAATGGGCTTCAAGAGTGATTGCATTGTAATAAAAACGGTAGGAGGTTCACTTGTAAAATATTTTACCCCTCGGTAACACATCTTTGCCTTTGCTTTAATTACTTCTGCCTTATTTTGAGAATCCTAAAACTCCTTCTGTTTATTTATTAATGCGAACGAGAATCTAGTTAAAACATTTGTCGACGTGAAAGAAGGCCAGGCGTCTTATGAGGATCGGCGGAGGGAAGAGTAGAAGGACAAAAAAGTAAAAAAATAAAGATAAAATCCTGGTGTTATGACAACACGTCTAGATAAAAGCTTAGATCTAAGTTTGTAAGCTTCATCGAGCATTCTATCCATGTGAACAATGGGCTTTTCTTAGGGCACCTACGAAACCCTGCCTCACTCCTGCAAACGGAAAACGTAACTTTAACCACTATAATTTTAAAAGCAGCCGGTTTATTAATCGTTTGGTTTTGTGAGGCCGATAGAGCCTTTCAAAACATCTTTTACCGGAAACCAAGAACTCATTAACGCCGGAAAATGGCTCAACTTTTATTTGAAACAAAAACATAAATACATTTTTTTATTTCAAAAATAAGAGTTCAACTCCTAATTTAATTTTTTATTTCGTTTATTTTTATCTACAACTGCACACATATTAGGGGTATTCACGAACTTTGTGTTAACCCTGTTAACTCTATTAGGTCGTGTTAGATCGATAAAAATGATGACGTAGACTTGTAAGAATCCGCTAGTTAACATAGCTCGATCTAACAGGGTAGGGCCAATGTTAGATGTTAGGACGAAAATGTATTCACTTTGCTATCAGTTAGGGCGTAGCCTAACATGGCAGCCATGAATTTAACAGCTGTTTTTCGTTTACACGTCTTCTTCGTCATCAAATCTTATATATGCATTAATTAAATCAGAACAATACATTTCTTTTGTTAATTTATCTTAATTTATCTCTGTCTTTATAATAATAACGTTAGGATACAAAACAATTAGTCTTAAAATTATGGATTGAAAACTTTGTAATCTTTGAATATTGGAATATTTCGCCGATCCATAAGCGTGGCATTCAAATAGGTTTGGGTAAATATGTGAATGTCAAAAGTTTTTATTTTATGGTAATTTTGTTCGTCGGTTGAGTAGGTAATAAAAGGTTTTAAATCGTTTGTTGAGTCTGTTGTTTTAATCGTGTGTACGGATTGGAAGTTAGTCTTCTGTCAAATGTAAGTCCTAAATAGCTAACTTCGTCGGATAGAGGAACAGGTTCATTAAATAGGTTTGTGCTAAGACAAGTCTCACGGCGGAGTGTAGAGGTGCTCTGTTGTGACTTTAATGGGATAAACTTCATTTTCCAGAAATTGTTCCATTTTTCAATTGGTGATATTTGGTTTTGAAACATACGTGAAGCTTGTGTAGAGCTTGTTTTATGGAGGTATCATCTGCGTATGTGGCGGTAAAAGCATGGTCATATGTGGGCATATCAGAAGTAAAAATTTAATATTATGCAACAAGCTTATAGTCTGTAAAGTAGAAACAAAAAGTTAAATTATTTTCTTAACTTAATTCGTAACTTCGTTTGCATATAAATGAAAAATTCTAAAATTGTTACGTTTTTAATTATTTTTTTATTCTAAAAACTACATGGATTTTGCTCACATTTAAAACTGTATCAATGTAGGTACAAATTTGCTTTCATTTACATTGCAACAATGGCGGCGATCTTTTCATAAAATGTACATCAAAATTGAAGTATTTGCTTGACATTTGACATCAGACTGACGAGATTGTCCATCAAACCTTTATTTAAAGAGAGGCTGGAGCCAGAATTCACAACTTAAATTTGCGTATCCACTTGCAAAAGGAGCAAGTAAATGTTCGGCAGAAACTCAAGGCGGTCAATGTTTGGAGGTGCGTGCCAACACTATGATCCCAAATTTCAGATTTGATGAAAACCACAAATCAAAATACGGATAGAGCAGGCCGGTAATTTGAGATTCCTACTTGGCATATGGTAGTTGCTTTTAGCTTACTGAAGAGCTCTAAATAATACACGATATCTGTTCGATGATAATACTTATCAACTGTAG